GGAGCCCCCCTCCGCCTCCCTGCCCGTCCTTTGGGAGAGGGATGCGGGCTGGATGCGGCAGCCCCCGACGGGCCGCGGGCAGCCGCTCGGCTCCGTGCGGCAGCGCTGCGGGCGGGCGCCCTGGGCACAGGGAGAGCATCCTTTACGAACGCTTTTCCCAGCACGCTTTTCCCGGGCAGCTGCGGGCGGTTCGGGGCTCTCCGCAGCCTCGGTGGCCTCGGGCGCAGCGGGAGCTGCAGGGAGGCAGCAGCGCGCAGCGAGTCCTTGACCCCCGGCCCGTCCCCGCATCCTCTGTGTGGCCGCATCCCGCACAGCCCCGGCTGCGGAGCGCTGCGTGCGGCTCCGGGAGCGCAGCGCTGGGCATCGCCGCCTGCCTCGGGCTTCACGGAGCCGGAGGGGCTCGTCCCGACCGAGGCCGACAAACAGCAGGGCCAGCAGCCCGCGAGGGACACGCCACTGCCATCCCTGCCCGCCTGCCTCACCCACCGGGCTTTTCTCCTGGCCATGTTGCACGGATTATCTGTGAGCAGATTAAATGCATCGGTTGTAATAATACATCCTAGCTCTGAATCCTCCCACCTGATGTTTGCCGCAAGGGAAGGGGGGAGAGCACAAGGTGTAGACATGGTCAGGTGCAGGCAGGGACTCTTCAAATGGAGGGCTGGTTCCACACTGAGCTGGTGCTGTTGGGGAAGTTTAATTGCACTCGGTGCCATCCTTCTCCAACTCTCTGTGACAAGTACGATGGTGTGGTTGAAATGAACGTGTTGTGTGGTTCTAAATTAATGAAGCAGGTTCCTTGCTCAACTTTAGTTTTAAAGGGCTGGTCATCTGAACCTCCTTCAGAGCACCTGCAAACCTTTCCACCTGAAGCAAAAGATAAGATGACTGCTCTGTTGAAGATCTACCTAGGATTACAGAAAGTGGCCCCTAATATTCTGCTATACAGTAAGAATACCATATAATTTAGTTTCATTATTATTAATCTTATTTTCCATGCTGATCCTATGAGTGCATGCACATGTGTAAGACAGTGCATGAGACCCTCCATGTGTAGCTCTTGCCTGCTTGACTTTATCTTGACTAAATGCAAGCTAGTGCAGATCACAGGTGCATTTCTGCTTGCTCAAATCCTCCTTCTGAAAAGTCTCAGACTCATGGGAATGTAGTAAAATGCACCCAGAATGTGCCATTTTTCAAGGTCAATGAAGAAACATCTAGCTATCACTTTGTTTCCCTCAGCCCAAGCGCTTACTTTCTGAGCTGTGAGCCTGGGAGGATTGCTTGGAGGAGGATGGATATGAAAATACACAATACTTGAAGCAGGCAGAGAGCCTTGAGGGAAACACAAAACACTTGGTAGTGCAATAGATAAGATCAGAAATGTGGTTTCCTTTTACCTGGGGTTCTGCTGAGGCAAAGAGTATTTTTCTCCCCCATCCTTCTACCAACTGAACAGCAGCGAAAATACGGATCTTGTCACAAGGGAAGTGTGAGGATGCTCAACCTGGCTTTACTCCTGAGAATTTTACTCTTGGGAACAGGGAAAAGCCAGTTTTCAGACTTATTTTAGGTTCGGTAAGAGTTGTTACACACCTTGTTTTAATTTCCATTAAAAACACCTAAAGGAAGCAACCAAGAATAAAAGTTGTTCCTGAAAAGAGAACCCTCATGTCCTTGCTTTAAATAGGCAGCACAGTTGTGTGTGGGAAGAAAGCTAATGGTAGAGGCTGCACCTCCAAGTGCAGCTTAAAAGTTGAGTTTTTTGTTTTGATTTCAACCTTTGACTTGTGCCATTTGTTCTACGTGACCTTTCTTGCAATTGGAAATTATCAGGGCAAAAGCTGTGCTCTTTCATCTTCAGGCTGTGGGAGAGGATGGTAAGTGTCTTGTTAAAATGGATTATGCCAGCCATGGATTCCCCTGCTGGAAAGCCTTTCAGATGATGGAGTAAATCTTGACAGGAAGAACTGTATAGATTAAAATTAATGTAAAAATAAGCTTGGAATAGCAAAGGAACATTTGCAACTTTCTGCATCCTACCAGGATGAAATGATTTAATGATATTTATCAGAGTGAGATATATATATACACACACTACTGAATTACACTGATGAATATGCTGGCTAAAAACTGTTTCCTCTTAAATAAATATCATAAGGAAGATTATTCCTCTATCTTCTAAATGGCCATTTCATTTTTTAAGCAAAAAGCAGCTCTGACTCCAGTTGCAATGGGATAAAGATATTTAGTTTAATGACTGTACTGAAGAAAGAAATCTGCAAAATGCATATGATTGAATCCTACCCTGGATCAAACTGGAATGCACTTTATCATATTAAATTTTGGGATCAGGGGAAAAAAACAACAAAGCAGAGTATTTACAAAATGTATTGGCTTGTGGTATGGGTTGGTTATTTGTTTTGTTATTTTGGGGTTATTTTTCATCTTGGATTTGTGTTATCTTTTGCTAACTTTTTTTTTGGCTGGGCTTTTGTGGGGGGTTGTGTGATTGTTTTTTCTTTTAGGTGGGTTTTAGTTTTTTGGGGTTGTTTTTGCTTGGGTTTTTTGACTGGTTGTGACAGGAGAATTGGGGAAAAATTAACCTCAGCTTGGAAGAGAACCAGAAGATTTACTTCTATATTTCTTTGCTTTTATGAGTAAGACAGATTAAAACCCCGATGTGATTTCCCATACATAGCCAGGAAGGATCTGTCACCTAAAATATGTGGCATAATGGAATTCCACCATCTTTTCTCACTTTCACATTTTTGTGAAAACAGTTCTTGATTATAATTCAATTCTTTGTTCCTCAGCAGTGCAATCAACTGTTTCCTGAAGACAGAGTGTTTAGACCTTACTGCATAAAAATATTCAGTAGGAGTGGCTTGAAATGAGCTCTTCAGGAGCATCTCAGTCACAGCACAGCCTTGCCAGGGTTACTGCTGGAGTCAGT